AACATGTCCTGCTTTAATTTGGCATAGATGAGCAGGTCTTTCCAAGCAGCTGAGTAAGTTTCTTGTATCTGCACAACCCTGCGATAAAAGGGTATTGGCTGTTTTCTGGGTCAGGCAGACTCGTCACTAAGGCCCCTGCTTGTGATGGGGTAAAAGCGACATTACACTACTGGTGCCCCTTCCGGTAATCTTGAATGTCGGGGTTGTCTTGTGTTACTGTTTCCTGTTTAGGTTGAACTCCACTGTGCGTGGGTTTGGGAGTCAAATCTATTGGCGCCCTTGTCGCTTGCAGCTGTTGATCACTCCATTCAGATGCATCGTCATTCAATTGGACATCTGACATAGGTTTGGGAGTCATACCTATTGGCATCCTTCCTGCTTGCGGTTTGTTGATCATTCAGCTCGAATACATTGTCATTCATGTATCCGGCTTGTGAAGGTGATGCTTCCATATTGGTGAAAACGGGAGTGTGGTAGGAAGCATCCTGGTTTAGAACAGGGGAGAACTGGGTATATGCCTTATTTAGGCCTTCCGGGGTGGCTGTACCAAGATGGCTCCAGGCAGAAGTGCACTGGGCTGGACAGGAAATGACCATACAGATGTAGCAAGATGGCTTGCTAGCAGGAAGTGTACTGGGCAGGGCAGGAAGTGACAACACAGGTATAGCAAGAGATGGCTGCTAGCAGGAAGTGCACTGGGCAGGGCTGGGGTGGTGGGCATAAAGTGGGCGTTAGATGAAGGGCAGGGCTGTCCCTCCCCTCTTCCACCCCACATTCCAACATAGGGCGGTGGTTTTAGCACACATTTCCCATTTACAATTTTGTGATACAAATACATTATACAATTGCCATTTTCTTGAATTTCTTCCAACTATCCTTCTTTATGCAACACTTTTCCAGTTCTGTTCCAAACTTCTGTCACGTTCAGCAAACCTTCATCACATAACATTCCTCTCTGTTCCTACAATGATTTATGCCAGTCCTCTGACCTTCAGCTTACAAACTTTCGCTACTTTAGATAACTTTTTAACTGCTTCACTTCCTTCTCTCCTCTTTACACTATCACATACTAATAATCCTTTCTGTGGCTTGACTGTCTTCTGACCCATCTTCCCCCCTCTCTCTGGGTCACCCAACTTCTCACTCTGTTCTGTTCTTTCACCGTAGTCTCAGCTAAAGGTTTCAGAGGCAGCGAGGGCAACTATTAAAATTAATATCCCTATTCCGCTGCTTCAGAGGCAGCGCGGGCAACTACTAGATTAATATCCCTATTCCGCTGCTTTCTGTCTTATCTCAGAACAAACAGTGATTCACAAATACACTCAGAACAGGACATTACACCTGCCGCCCCTTGCTCCGTGAAGACTCAGCAGCTGAACTAAACCCTCAGGGGTCTCACACCGTCAACCCGAGTCACCGTCCCGTAGACGCTTGTTGCAAGGTTCCGTCTTCCAGGGGCCAACAGCTCACCTGGTCAGAAATCTCATTGCAAACATATTGCAAGGTTCCGTCTTCCAGGGGCCAACAGCTCACCTGGTCAGGACACTCATTGCAACTTATCTATCAGTCTACTGAGTTTATCACAGTCGCACAGGACGACAGACATTGAACAAATACACAGTCAGCAGAGATCCAATGGCAGGTTCGTTAAACAGCCCCAGGCGAGAAATAAAAATTACCTGCCGCTCTTGATGACCTCTGGAAGCGACAAAACTGGCGCCAAGGCTGGACAGAAACAAATCGTACAGTGGTAAGTATAAAAAGTACCTACCGTACTCTCAGGGGTGCGCAAATCCCTTTTGGTCTGTCCTGGCCAGCTGCTCAGTCTCACGTGCGGACTTCCATCGGTCACAACCTGGGGCCCCGCGTGGGCGCCAGCTAAAAAGGTTGGGAGAACCACAATCGGGCTCAGGGTAGGATTTCTGCTGCTGTTCCTAATTTTGAGATATGGATTGCGTGCACGCCGGAAAATAATTACACGGACAACTGTCCAGTATACAACCACTTTCACATCATCTCATCTCTGTTTATTGCAGGGCGGTGCTTAACCTTTTATACATAGAGAACAATAGAGTATACGTCACTATTACGTATATACAGTCACATTCTGAAAGGCACATTTTGCTTGGTTGAAATATAGGAGAAATGTAGAAACTTGATGCTTGCTTCTCATCCCGTTATCTCTGTTCACTCCCCTTCACATTCCCAAAGTCTAAGTGAAATCATCTCAGTGCGAAGGGAGGGGTTGAGAGCATCGCTCTGAGCAAAACAAGTTAAGGAGGACTGCAAAGCCCAGCAGACAAAATATATATATATATATATATTATATATATATATATATATATATATATATATATATATATATACACTCACAACACATATATTTAGAAATATAAAAAAGTATAAAAGTAAATATGTATAAAATGTATATTTTAAAACAGAAAACAGAATAGGCATTTTACCAAATCCATCACAATGGTCCCAGTACATTGTTCTGGGAGCATGGTGACAAAGCCTTATCTTCCCTTACACAGTGAGGGTGTCAGGGCTCCCAGGTATGACCAGAGGTGTGTGACTGATGCAGGGAAACGCAGACTTCAGATATGTGATAAACAATACAATTTATTAACACTAACAATACAAACATAAACGCAGTGCAATACTAAAACATAACACAGTGCAAACAAACCAAACCAACCACCCACAGATAACAGTATATACAAGCAAGCGTCGTCAGGCAGGCCGGGTCAATATCAATGGGCAGGTAGGTACAGGGGGAGCAAGCAGAGAATGGTCGGGGTCACAGGCCAGGTTCAGCAGGTAGCAAGCAGCGTAGTACAGAGGGTCAAGCAGAGGGATGGTCAGGGTCACAAGCCAGGGATCAGGACAGGTAGCAGAGAATCAGACAGGAACAGAGAGCAGGAACAGGATACAGGGCCCAAGAGAAACACAACACCAAGGCAGAGTCTGTGGGTCTGGCCATCCCTTAAAATACCCCAGCATCATCAGTTCCAGGTGTTAGCTGGCTGAAAGGTTGAGTCTCTGATTGCTGGGAGCACCCGCTGGCCAGCCCTGGTACTGCAGATCAAAAGGCAGGTGAGTCCCACCATTGCTGGCCAGTCCATTCCTAACAGTACCCCCCCCCCAAGGAGCGGCCTCAGGACGCTCCAAACAGTCCTAGCTGGGCAAAATGTTCCACCGCCGCCCGGGTCTGGTAACTGGCGGGATATCAAAGACTGGCACACCGGGCAGGACTCCGGGCAGCGGCACACCGGGCTGGACTCCGGGCAGCGGCACACACCGGGCTGGACATCGGGCAGAGGCACATCGGGCAGAGGCACATCGGGCAGAGGCACATCGGGCAGAGCAGCAGGCACCGGGCCCCCGGGCGGGGCGACATGCATCGGGCCCCCGGGCGGAGCGGCAGGCGCCGGGCCCCCCGGCGGAGCGGCAGGCGCCGGGCCCCCGGGCGGAGCGGCAGGCGCCGGGCCCCCGGGCGGAGCGGCAGGCGCCGGGCCCCCGGGCGGAGCGGCAGGCGCCGGGCCCCCGGGCGGAGCGGCAGGCGCCGGGCCCCCGGGCGGAGCGGCAGGCGCCGGGCCCCCGGGCGGAGCGGCAGGCGCCGGGCCCCCGGGCGGAAGAGCGGCAGGCGCCGGGCCCCCAGGCGGGGCGGCAGGCGCCGGGCCCCCAGGCGGGGCGACAGGCATCGGGCCCCCAGGCGGGGCGACAGGCATCGGGCCCCCAGGCGGGGCGACAGGCATCGGGCCCCCAGGCGGGGCGACAGGCATCGGGGCGACAGGCATCGTGCCCCCAGGCGGGGCGACAGGCATCGTGCCCCCAGGCGGGGCGACAGGCATCGTGCCCCCAGGCGGGGCGACAGGCATCGGGGTGACAGGCATCGTGCCCCCAGGCGGGGCGACAGGGATCGTGCCCCCAGGCGGGGCGACAGGGATCGTGCCCCCAGGCGGGGCGACGGGCATCGTGCCCCCAGGCGGGGCGACGGGCATCGTGCCCCCAGGCGGGGCGACGGGCATCGTGCCCCCAGGCGGGGCGGCGGGCGCCGGACCCCCAGATGGAGCGACAGGTCTCGGGCCCTCAGGCGGAGCGGCGGGCGCCGGACCCCCAGGCGGAGCGACAGGTCTCGGGCCCTCAGGCGGAGCGGCGGGCGCCGGACCCCCAGGAGGAGCGACAGGTCTCGGGCCCTCAGGCGGAGCGGCGGGCGCCGGACCCCCAGGTGGAGCGACAGGTCTCGGGCCCTCAGGCGGAGCGGCGGGCGCCGGACCCCCAGGCGGAGCGACAGGTCTCGGGCCCTCAGGCGGAGCGGCGGGCGGCGGACCCCCAGGCGGGTTAGCGACAGGTCTCGGGCCCTCAGGCGGAGCGGCGGGCGCCGGACCCCCAGGAGGAGCGACAGGTCTCGGGCCCTCAAGCGGAGCGGCGGGCGCCGGACCCCCAGTTGGCGGAGCGACAGGTCTCGGACCCTCAGGCGGAGCGGCGGGCGCCGGACCCCCAGATGGAGCGACAGGTCTCGGGCCCTCAGGCGGAGCGGCGGGCGCCGGACCCCCAGATGGAGCGACAGGTCTCGGGCCCTCAGGCGGAGCGGCGGGCGCCGGACCCCCAGGTGGAGCGACAGGTCTCGGGCCCTCAGGCGGAGCGGCGGGCGCCGGACCCCCAGGCGGAGCGACAGGTCTCGGGCCCTCAAGCGGAGCGGCGGGCGCCGGACCCCCAGGCGGAGCGACAGGTCTCGGACCCTCAGGCGGAGTGGCGGGTGCCGGACCCCCAGGCGGAACGACAGGTCTCAGGCCCCCAGGCGGGGCGGCGGGCACCGAGTCACCAGGCACAACCGTGGGCTCCGAGTCAACTGGGATGACCGCTGGCACTGGGTCAGACATTGGATCGTCTGGCTGGACAGCGGTCATCGGGTCACCAGGCATCAGGTCATTTGGCTCGACAGCGGGCACCGCGTCATCTGGCAAGGCAGTGGGCTCCGAGTCAACTGGTATGACCGCGGGCACTGGGTCAGACATTGGATCGTCTGGCTGGACAGCGGGCACTGGGTCACCAGGCATCAGGTCATTTGGCTTGACAGCGGGCACCGCGTCATCTGGCAAGGCAGTGGGTCCGAGTCAACAGGCACGACAGTGAGCACCGGGTCATCAGGTACCGGATTGTCTGGCTCGACAGCGGGCACCGCGTCATCTGGCAAGGCAGTGGGCTCCGAGTCAACTGGTATGACCGCGGGCACTGGGTCAGACATTGGATCGTCTGGCTGGACAGCGGGCACTGGGTCACCAGGCATCAGGTCATTTGGCTTGACAGCGGGCACCGCGTCATCTGGCAAGGCAGTGGGGCTCCGAGTCAACAGGCACGACAGTGAGCACCGGGTCATCAGGTACCGGATTGTCTGGCTCGACAGCGGGCATCGGGTCACCAGGTATGACAGCGGGCACTGGGTCACCAGGCATCAGGTCATTTGGCTCGACAGCGGGCACCGGATCAGGTACCGGATCATCTGGATCAACAGCGGGCATCGAGTCAACTGGCCTAATAGGATCGTCAGGCTGGATCAGTTCATCATGCTGGGTAGAGGCATCAGGCTGAAGAGAGGCATCAGGCTGCGTATCGGCATCAGGCTGAAGAGAGGCATCAGGCTGCGTACCGGCATCAGGCTGAAGAGAGGCTTCAGGCTGAACCACGGAAGGCAGGCTCACCGGTTTGGATACTGGCAGGATGGTATTGGTTGGAAAGAATTTTCGCTTTTTTCTGGTTTTAACTACTGGAGCACTGCAAGTAAACGCAGGTCTGCAAACGAATGGAGCAGCTGGAGACAGAGAAGAACTGGAGGATGGAACAGGAGAGGGAGCGGTTGCTACAGAGGGCTCTTTTACAGGGTTAAAGGCAGGATAGGTGCAGCGAGTGGGAACAGGGTACTGACATGCGGTAGATAGCAGGGCAGGAGGAGCTGTTGGGAATGCAGGAATAGAGTTTTGAGGAAATAGATTAGAAGCAGGACTGGGTCTTTGTAAGCTGACTGAGGCTGGGTGCAACAAATCTGTCCATGTCTGCAGTATGGGTTGAACAAAGCTGAGCTTACACAAAGCCTGTCTGGTCAATGACTGCACTGCGTTTATACAATCTCTTAGTGTCTGTGGTGAACATGTGGAATAACGCTCCAGAAAGTAACCCACATCATCCTCTAATAACCACACCAGGGACTCTACCTGGTCTGCACTAAATGGTGGCAAAAATTCATCCCTGCATTCGGGGGAACCAGATGAAACCAACTCAGCACAAACTTCAATCAAAGGCTGCACCTCAGAGAACTCTATGCCCTGATCTACTAGAACATGAGCGAGCCGTATGCATTCTAGCAGTTCATCCCGGGTATACTCCTTCAGAGTCTGATAAGCATACTCCCTGTCATCAAACACTAGCAGATATAAATATTCAACCTCATCCAGATCCATCCTTCCCATCAACAAGCCAAGATGGCTTCCCTGTGCAGCCACTTCTGGTCAGGATTGGCCTTGGTGTAATGTCAGGGCTCCCAGGTATGACCAGAGGTGTGTGACTGATGCAGGGAAACGCAGACTTCAGATATGTGATAAACAATACAATTTATTAACACACTAACAATACAAACATAAACGCAGTGCAATACTAAAACATAACACAGTGCAAACAAACCAAACCAACAACCCACAGATAACAGTATATACAAGCAAGCGTCGTCAGGCAGGCCGGGTCAATATCAATGGGCAGGTAGGTACAGGGGGAGCAAGCAGAGAATGGTCGGGGTCACAGGCCAGGTTCAGCAGGTAGCAAGCAGCGTAGTACAGAGGGTCAAGCAGAGGGATGGTCAGGGTCACAAGCCAGGGATCAGGACAGGTAGCAGAGAATCAGACAGGAACAGAGAGCAGGAACAGGATACAGGGCCCAAGAGAAACACAACACCAAGGCAGAGTCTGTGGGTCTGGCCATCCCTTAAATACCCCAGCATCATCAGTTCCAGGTGTTAGCTGGCTGAAAGGTTGAGTCTCTGATTGCTGGGAGCACCCGCTGGCCAGCCCTGGTACTGCAGATCAAAAGGCAGGTGAGTCCCACCATTGCTGGCCAGTCCATTCCTAACAGAGGGTGTTTTTTTTTTTTTTTTTTTTTTTAAATGTATTAATTTTTGAAAAATAAAACCTTCAAAGAACTCTTACTAAATACCTTGGACTGTTTGCTTTCCAAAAAGGCGGTCATCTGGGGGGTATTCGCACTGTCCTGGTGTTTTGGGGCCTCAAGAAATGAGATAGGCCATCAAGTACATCAAGACTGATCGATTTTCATATATATATATACAGTATGTGAATCAGCACTCAACCCTAACGGTGAATTTTTCTCATTTGCTCTTTTTTGGTCTGATAAACATAAATCATTGCAAAATATTTTTTTTTCTGTTTAACCGCCTCCCGCCCACGCCATATAGTCCACGAGGTGGTTCTCTAGTTCTGAGAGGACGTCATATGATGTCCTCCCATTCTCACCGTGCATGCGCGGCTCCGGGAGCAATCGCCAGTGCACTGTGTCCCTCGGACACAGCGGATCACCGATTCACGGAAAGAGCCGAAGATGTCAGCTCGGTCATGTGATCAGCTGTGTCCAATCACAGGTGCCTTGATGATCAGTGTAGCCCCAGCAGTACCACCTGTCAGTGTCCATCAGTGCCAGCACTCAGTGCTCATCCATGTCACCTGCCATTGCCCATCAGTGCCATATCAATGCCACATATCAGTGCCCATCTGAGCTGACTTTCAGTGTCACCTGTGAGTGCCAGCCAGTGCCACCTATCAATGCCAATCAGTGCCACATATCAGTGCCAGTCAGTGCCGCCTATCAGTGCTGCCTTTCAGTGCTCATCAGTAATGCCTGTCAATGCCCATCAGTGCCACCTACCAGTGCCTCCTCATCAGTGCCCATCAGTGCCTCCTCATCAGTGCCCATTAGTGCCACCTATCAGTGCCCATCACTGCAGCCTCATTAGCGCACATCAGTGAAGGAGAAAAATCACTTATTTACAAAAATTTTATAACAAAATTTTCAGTGGTTTTTGGTTTGTTTAAGAAAAAATTAAAATCCCAGAGGTGATTAAATACCACCAAAACAAAGCTCTGTCTGTCACAAAAAAAATGATAAAAATTTCATATGGGTACAGTGCTGCATGATCGCGTAATTGTCATTCAAAGTGTGGGTATAAGTGCCCTGTAGGCTAGTGGTTAATAAAAGCAAAAAAAAAGCCCCATTGATCCTGCCAGAAATCTTATCAGCCCATAAGTCATGGCCTGGACTGAGCGGAGCTAAGGGGAGGGCCAGCATGACTGCGGCTTGCAGACGAGGCGGAGATTGGATTTGGGTGGGAGGATATTCAATAGGTAGGGGCGGTTACTCACCTGATTGGAGTATTCAAGTTTGAGGGTGGTCTTTCCAGGATGAGGTTGGGACTTGCTGGGTGTCAGTCGGAGCTTGTTCCAGCATGGGTGAGGTTTGTCCCGCCCTCCCTCCCTCTCTGGACTTGTTTTATTGTTTTGTTGTTTTGTTTTTGTTTTTCCTCTTGTCCTTGTGTTTGTCGTGTTGTTTGGTTTTGTTTGGGTTCCTTGATTTTATCTTCTTTCCTTGATCGGCATTTTGTGTTCTGGGGTGTTTGGCGTTTTTTGTTTTGTCATGGCAGCCGGCAGGGGTCGCTGGGTCTTTGAAGGCGGTGCTGGAGTGACCATTTGGTGGATTATGGGTTGGGCCCATCGTAGGTATGGGTGTTCCTTCCCAATTATAAGGTCATGTTGGTAAGGTGGGAGTTCATTGGCTGTAT